GCAAACCTGCAAATGATACAATTAAAAATAATAATAATCATTTCCCCAATGTTCTAAACCTGGTTAAAATTTCATTCTTTTAAAAGTAAAATCAGCTCTTTATTTATTTTTTTACTAGATTTCTATACAACCCCTATAACCAAAAAGGCTCTCTGGGTGGGTAACAGACCTTACAACCAGACACCCTCTCCCAGCCCTGTGTGGCTGATCTCACAGGGTTGCTTTGTAGACAGAAGGGAAACCCATCTACAGTTATAATTAACTTCTTGGAGCAAAGTTATAAATAAAGCAAGTATCTTTGTTTGAAGATATGGATGGGAAAGGAAAACTTGTCCTATGTCACTGGGTGGCTTGACCCTTTAGTGGCAAGGTATATCTAAGGGAGAGGCTGTTCTCTATCCATGCACCTAGCCTAAATTATTCACAGCATTAAAGCACCTCCCGTGAATGAGAAAATAATCCTTACAAAATCGTGCAAGATTGGTCAGAATTATCAGCCCCATTTCCAGCATTCATGAAGCTGCAGGGGAAAGAATAGCTGCATCAAAGAGATCTTGTTTTCCCCAAACTTAAGCTAAGATTAAGCTGAACTGAGATTTGCAGCAAGAATCCCAGAAGCTCACTGGTTAAGCTCTTCACCACCACACCACCTGTCATGGAGGACTAATCCAGCAGCCGCTCTTTAACAGAAAAAAGTGTCAAACTCTGCCTACCAAGGAAGAAATGGAAGGCATAAAAAGAAAATGGAAGCCCATGGTTATGCCATGGGTCTTTTCCTGTGGGATCAGATCAAATTTAGCTACAACATGCCCTCCAAAGTATAGGGAGTGCAGGGATGTACTCTGTCTTGCGGAAAAGCATTATTTAATTGCAAATCAACATGATTTAATGGCTATGTCAATCAATAATAAGTGCCAATCCATAAAAATATCTATCTCATAGTGCAGGCCATAGATGTGAGCTGGCAAGCTGAGGAAAATCAATGATTTAATGGACATTTTCTTCTTGTTGATTGAAATGCTGTTAAGCACGATGTCTTGTTCAAAAGCCTTCAGAAAAATCTTAAGATTTCCTAATAATCACGTTGGAACCTCCTCCATGAAACAAGCCTCCACTAAGCACATTATTTTCTCTGGGAAGAAATTGCAGGAAGAAGGGAAATTAAAAGGCAGAATGTCTAGAGCAAGATGGCAAAGGAAGAAGCAAACACACCAGGAAACAGGCTTAAGAGGGAAAGAGATGTGAACGAGGCTTCGAGGAAGCAGGCAGAGTGATTAGAAACTGGACAAGACTTTTATTACATGCCTGTGGTTCCTAGGAGAACCTTCAGGTTATGGGGTGGCATAGAAATGAATTTAAATAAATAAATCATAGCAGTTTGTGGGTATTTTAACATCCTCCTCCTTTAGGGTCTCTCCATTCTTTGCAGTCATTTCTTCAGGGTTTTGGAGTTTCTGTGTGTGATTTTGCGGTGGGGGGATTGTTTGTTTTTAATCAAGAGAAGTATGGTCTTATTTAGCAATCAAGCTAGGAGAACCTCATGCAGTGCCACCGTGTGGTTGTGTAATGGAACACATAGAAAGGCAGAAAGAGGGAAAGCATTTTCCAGGAACAGATCGTAATCCTTCAAAGTACCCAGAAGCAGAAACCTTAGTCAAGTTGCGGGTTAAATGCCACATACAGAAATGCCCCACAGTAGTCAGTTTGAGGAAATGTGCTGCGCTTAAGATCAGAATGGGGTTTGGGTGAGACGGGAAGGAGAAAGCCGTGAGCAACCAGGACATCAGCAAGATGGCAGTGGGTTGTTGAACAAGGACTAAGCACCGCACTGAGCAACGGAGGCAGGAGACTGAAGAAAAGGAGCTGGGCAAAATCTTCGCACAGAGCCTAGCAACAGATGGTGCCGCGCAAGGGAGGTCTGTATGCCTGCAAACTCAGTCTGGCGTCCAAGTGAGCATTTTGAGCCGATACTGGACCTGCACTCTCTTCCCGCATCGATGCAATACGGGCAAGATCAGTAGATTTGCAAGCAACACACAGTCTTCCCCTGGTCACCCCTCCAAAGGGACCTATGCAAAGAGGCCTGTGTGGATTTCTGACCACTGAAAGAAGAGGCAGAGAGAAACAGCACCTGGTGTCACTTCTGCAGCTGGGCCTCCAAAACAGTGTCCGTATTTAAACTGTCCTCAAGCCAAACATTCTCCAGCAGTTGCCCAGGTGTAGAAGGAAACGCAGAGCTTACCCATGGATAAGGTTAGTTTCAAGAGAAAACTCAGGGACAAACTGAATGCTATCTTGGTAGCTCCAAGTTCCAACTCCATGTTCACCGATGGGCCAAAACAGAACAGACGACCTGTATTGATGCTTTTTAACACGCCCGGTTTTTAAAACATCAGCTGCCTGAAACACCACCTCACACACACAACCCTGAAGAAAATACACACCCCTCCCTTAGCTGGTACTCACCATAAGCGGGAAGCTGTGGAATGTGGAACCAGGAGTTATTTATAAGCAGCAACAGGGCAAGAGGGTACTTAACCAAGGGTAGTTCTGCCCAGCCTGGCTCGTTTCCAGACTTGGAGCCTGGCTGGTGATAGGAAAACTTGAAATTGTAGGAAGTTGCATTAGAAAGGGGAGAGAGAGCCATGTTGGCACGTGTGCATATGCACACACATGTGTAAAGTCTGTGAATGCCCTCAGAGTGAAAGCAATAAGCGTTGCTCCCACAGAAAACTTGGAGGGGGTTACTCCTTGCAACAGCACCTGGCACAGCGGCGTGTGGAGGCTGCAGAGTGTCCGTTTCACTGGCTGCTACGCTTGAGAAAAGGGCTCGGATTCGGAGGGGTGGGCCCACCCACAGGCACGGTGGCTGGAATTGATGGGAGCCGGAGCCCAGCCGATCTGGTGGGCACGACGTTCAAGAAGCCCTTCCTGCTGTGTGTTATTGATTCGTGCATCATTTTGTCATGGATCTCCTCTGCAGTCAGATTTGCACGCAGAATAGCAGCTTTGCAGAAAAGCAAAACACAAACATTGAATTTAAAACTGTTTCTCCTTCAGCATAAACACTGATTAGATGGTAAATTGTTCCCAGTACATTTGGGATGAAAACTATTATTAAAGAGGTTCCTATCTATAGGTTTCATGTTCAAGAAGATAATTAGTCTCCCGTTGATTAACTGTCTATCCAAAGTTAAGCTCCACTAAGAATGAGACGGCACATGAAGCACATCGCAAACACCCAACTTCCTCGTTTCTGAAATCTAACTATATGTGAAGTCCAAGACCGAACAGGGCAAGAAATCCAAACCATCTTCCCCTCTCCATTACTGTGGTGAAGAAATAAAATCAACGAATTCATGGAACATTTGCTGCCCTTTCTTTGCATCTTAAGATCAGCTGCCTGGGGGTGACCCCCATTATTCTGGTTGCCTTAATCCAGTGTTGTTCGAAATACTTCCAGGATGCCTCGTCGCATAACCACTCCATTTCTTCCTTTTTTTAATGCACCTTGTTACATTGCTCTATGAGCCAACAGAGAAGACACTCTCCTTATTTTAATTCCTACGAACATGAATGAATTCTCAGCTGGTTAATCATGGTGCATGACTTTCAGGGTTCCCCTGGAAAAGCACACACATTTGAAAGATATTGAGAAATCTGGGGGAAAAAATTGGTCAAGCAACCTCGTGAACTACCACCTTTGATTTTCAACCATCCTTTCATGTATGATGATGTAGGACTTAGACAAGTACAACAGCGATGGTCTGAGAAGCAAATTGTGTGTATGGGTGTGTGCGGGTGTGGATGTGAAAGCACGCCCGTGTGTATGTGTACACATATCCAGCACAGAATCCGCACCATCATCACCAAAAAATCCTGCCCCATCACTCACATAAAAGAATCAAGTATTTTCACGTTTATTTGGGGGTTGCCACTAAAGTCTCCAGTTTTTGGCTTCTATAGAAATTTGTCCAAAAAAGAAAAAAAATAAAAGAATGAAACAAAAATTAAAAAAGACAGACAAGACGTCGTGGAGAGGCGACCCTGTGGACCCGTCCTTGCTCCCCACTATTCTGCTTTTGAGGTCCTGGAAGGTTCACTTCCCCCCCTTAAAAAAAGTTGGGTTGGGTCTATTACCTCTGCTGTTTTCTTCCATCCGCCCCCTGCAGATCTTGGTCCTGTGCATTCCAGGTGTTTCTGTTAAAAGTGTGGAATCCAACCGGCCCCACAATTCCTCGGAAGGCGGCTTAGTTGACCCTGAGTTCGGCCTCAAGCCCCAAAGCATAGTTTACCCACACCCTGCTTGGGTAGGAGGTTGCTCACTGCTACGCATGTTTTCCAGTGGGGGCTCCAAACTTCACCCCACACATAAAAAGAGGGAACCCCCCAAAAGGGCTAGAATGTCATTTCCAGCTTTCCCGAGGCACACGATGGGGCGGTGGAGGGTTCTCTGCCCCCCTGGCGCACCTGTCTGAGCCACTCCCTCCCATAGGGTGAAGGCCTGGGGGAACAACACAAACGCATCTCGGAGGGGTTGGAGACCACTGTGTGTGGAAGGGCGAGGAGGAGCTGGCGGGGCTGGTCTGTCTCGGGCAGAGATCTGCAGGGACGATTCTTCCCACACAGGTGGACACTGGTTCTGCTTTTAGCCCACGGTAGGAGAGGGTCTCCCCAGAACGTCAGGCGGAAGTGGGCCACGGATCCATCACCCCAGCGGTGAGGTTCAGTGGGGGAGGGGGTGCCATGTGTGGGTCTTCCCCATGAGGAGGAGGAGGGGCGATAAGAAAGGGACTCCCTCTCTTGGACTTCAGGATGAGTCGTGGACTTCTTTCTCCAAAGCAGTCGGGGGCTGCAAGGACTTCCACACACCCCAAAGGGCAAGGGGACGCTGTGCCGGGGTGGGGGGTCACCATTGGCCGGGGTCCCCAAATCAGGGTATACGCATAGCGTACATGCCTAATACCAGGCACTCCGCACGAGCGCGAAGGCAGGGCCGAGGTGGGGGAGGGGCACGAAGCAAGTGGGGGGCGTCACTCCTGCTCGCTGAGTTCACGGGGGACCCCCCGTCGTGGAGTGCCCTCCTCAGGGGGTGGGGCCCCCCGAGGCGGCGGGGGCGCTCCCCGCAGAGTCTGGATGCGCCGGCACTCGTGGCAGATGCGGACGTGCGTGCAAGGCCGGGGGGGCTCCTCCAGGAGGCGCTGCGGGCCCGGCTCCGGCACCAAAGTCCCCGAGTAGAGCTTGCCGTTGCTGAGGCGCATCTCGCGCACGGAGCGCAGCGACAGGGCCCCGCGGGTGGCATAGTGGCGGCGCCGGCGGCGGGAGCGGGTCGGCTTGCGGCAAGAGACGGCGTGGCGCAGCTCGCGCAGCATCTCCTGGCAGACGGAGATCTGCGGGCACATCAGGGGAAGGGGAAGAGCAGTGAAAAGGTGCGTCCCTGCCCCTAGCAGACAAGAGTCTAAAAAGACATTTATGCATTAAAAAAGAAGCAGGACGCATCCCTCTCTGAGGCAAAATGCGCTGGCTGACCCCTAGTCCCCAGCACCCTGGGGAGGCTGCTAGGACTAAGACCTCTTTGCCCCTGCGGACCCAACCTCCCTCCTCCGCTGAGGGCAGCAGTGGTTGGGTTTGGGGGCAGCTTCCGGACCCAGGCAGGGCTTCACGGAGGGGCCGGCGAGGCCAGTGTGGCGAGGCCGCCCCAAGCCAAACCCAGCAGGCAGGAGCAGCCCAGCTGCGGTCAGGAAAGGCCCACCGTGTCTCCCCGTTCCCAGCCCAACTAGGGTTACCACACCCGGCAAGTACTTCACAGATCCATCCAGTACAACTGGCAATCCGAGAGTTGCCCAAAATGCTCACAGACTTCAGACTCTTCCAGACACCACACACAACCCAGATCAGGTTGTCTCCCAACCTCACACTTCACCTTCCAGATTCTTCTCTGGTTCGACTGTCTAAGCCCACCTGGAAGACCAGTATTTTTGGACTCCGGATGTTTTTATCAAACCGAAACCCACAATCAGTTAGTCAGACACTGCAACCCACTGGCACTTTCATTTCTTGGACAAAATGATTTCAGATGGAGAATCACCTGGTACTATCAGCAAAAATGCATTGTTGCAACTATTCTGTATTTTTTAAACTGATTTTCCACAGTGTTAAAAGAAAAGTATAAGACACTGGGAAAACACATGTAATGGATGGGAGGCAATAATACCTGGACCCACCTTGGTGAATGAGGCAGAGCAACAGTGCCCAAAAGGCCTCACCTGAGTGCTTTAGTTTTGCACATTGCCTTTGAATCACCAGACCTACATCCATAAATACTGCCAGGCCGGCTGAGACAAAGATCATCCCTATACTAGAATGCCCCAGACAAACTTATAGGGGTGGGAGGCTGACCGATCCCTGCCGGACTCCTCGGTAGCCTGTGTGCCAGAACAAGCTGCCGCTGAGCACCGAGGTTGGCTCGCGAGCCATCACAGCCTGCCAGCCTGCTCAAGACCTTGCCTCAATCGATCCAATCTTTTGAAAAAACCATTTCTGCAAAAGGCTGTCACGCCATCCTGCAGCAAGGCAAGCAGAGCAGGCATTCCATGAAGAACTACTTGCTCCTGTCCTTTCCGAACTGGTCGTCTTCCCATTTCAGGGAAATACAAGCACAGGCGCCCTTCCAGGAATGTCAGCCGCATTGTGATATTGTACTGGGGAGGCTGTGTCGGCTTGAGCAAAATGCACAGGGGAACCGTGACAGTCTTCATGGTGAACACCAGAAATCTTAGACTATAAGTTAGAAGGGTAAAAAAAGCCAGGCTTTGGAGGGGCAGTTAGGAGGCCGAAGGGGGGACGGTTCCTGCCAGAAAAGGCAGCAACTGACCAGGAACATGGGTGTTTTGCCTTTCCTGCAACCCCGCAGCACACCCTCAACCAATTTCTAGTCTCCTTGCGGCCCATTGCACTGCTTTTCCTCCCATTCCCAGTTTCTCCCATTCTCCCTCAGACTGCACTGCTTTTCCTCCCATTCCCGGTTTCTCCCTTCCTTTCCTTTCCCCCATGAGACCCTCCCTCACCTCCTCATGTTCAGCCGAGCGGCGCGTGGCCCATACAAACTCCATGACAGCCACAAAAACAGCTATGATGAGCCCACAGATCAGCACCACAAAAATGCCTCCAATATTCTCCATGCCAAGCCCTATGGGAGAAAAAGAAAAATAACAGAATCAGCCACTTGTCAACTGCGCTTGGCCCCCTGCAGAAGTACACCAGCTTTTCCAGCCAATTCCTGGAAAACCGTGACTTGTTAGAGCAGCTACATTCAGACAACACAATAACTCACATTGCAATAACAATCCTCAGTAAGGCCCGATCATGTTTCCTGAATCCAGTGTCAGTCAGTCAGTCAGTCAGTCAGTCGTCCGTCAGTCTCTCTCCCTCTCTCTCTCTCTCTCTCTCTCTCTCTCTCTCTCTCTCTCTCTCTGTGTGTGTGTGTGTGTGTGTGTGTGTGTGTGTAAGGAAGAGCTATCTGCTTTCTTTCAGTTTAATTATTATTTTTAATTCCCTAAAACCTGGGAATTGCAATTTGGTGAGGATAATAAAAACACCCTGCTAGAAAATCTAGGTCCTCCCCATTACAAAGTGACATTTCTCAGATCTTCCCGGGGAGAACGAATCACTGCTAAACCTCAGTTTAAGCTTAGGGACTAGGATACAGCCTGAATGAGATGGATATAACCTGCATTGCGTGCACACAATTACTGTCAGCAACCGTAGCAGTTATACTTTCTGGCTGCAGAAAACAAGTGTCACATTGAAACCCAGAAAAACGCACAAGACAAGAACAATAAAGGGCAGCGGTTATTTAAGAAATCATTCTTGACATATTTCTCTGATGTTTGTCAGGAAGATCTTAAAGATCAATAATGCTCAGGCTGGAAATAAAATCCTTTGTATCCAAAGAAGATATTCACTTGCTCAACAATTAATTAGACGCATATTACATCACCTTTTGACAGGATAAGGAACACGCTAATGTGTGTAGGAGGGGGATGTATCCCCAGCTGCACCTTCTCATTTTGTTTGGGGTTTTTTGCGGAATTGTCTTTTCTTCCTGCACGCTTCTCTGTCGCCACAAGAGGCCACCCTCCCCAATGCTTACGCTTCTGGTATTGGGAAGGAGCAAGAAATTATATTTCCAAATGAAGACCAACCATTCCCATGCAGAATCCAAAGATCACACCTGACCAACAGAAACTTTGGGCGTGCTTGCAGTTCTAGGGACTAATTTAGGTTCAGAACTGCTTTCTCTCCCTACTTGGCTTCCTACCTGAACCCTATTGCTAAATGTTAAGCGTAATTATACATATGCACCACAAATGAACGGACGGGACCTCGACGTTTAAAGAGATGAGGCACGTATCTTGTGTTTACGGACAATCTTCTGCCAGCAGCCCCCGTCACTCCCCTGCTTCTGGCCTCGGCCTCTGACCTTTGGCACGGTGGTCTTCCTCCTTGGGGCACTTGCTTCCTTCCCACCATTTGCGTTTCAGGATTTCCAGGCGGTTGTTTTCCTGAAGCTGTAGGATGGCGAGAGTGATCTCATCCCGGAATGGGGACCCTGAAAAATGGCGGGGGGGGGGGGGAGTCCAACACAAGGCGCCGTCGTTATTTGTTTTTTGGCTCCAGGCAAGACCTTTTTCTTTAAACGTTATTTTAATGAATTGCTGATTTATTAATTGGTTTTAAATCAGTTGCCAGGATGTTTCCAGTTTTTATGTATTTGTATCGTTATTTATTCGTTGGAAGCCACCCCCAAGGCTTATGCGAATGGGGCGGCATACAAGAATCCCAAATAAATAAATAAATAAGTCAGTGCCACACGCATTCTTGAGAGAGTATTCCCATTTTCTTAGCACAACTTTATGTGTTCTAACATGCACGCACATACACACATACACACCTCAGTGAAAAAGCAAGAGATCCTTCTCTGTTTTGCACTGCAGTCAGCCTGCCAATTTAAAATTGTGGCTCTCAGCAAGAATTCCTTGGGAACAGCTAGAATGGATTGAACTTCAGATGTGCTTTGGCACCCTGCCACCCGAGTCCACAGTTTCTTGCATCTCCTTGCGCACAGGAACCCTCCCACCCCAGTCCCAATAACCATCCATGATGCAATAAACAGCATGCTTGACCCATCTCCACACCGGGCTCTTACAGCAGTTCTCATACGGAGCATTTGCTCCTGTGCATGCAAAAGTGGGCCTTGTTTTGATTTTTCTGTGTACAGCATCTGGCACTTCAGGAATATGATTCTTAACAGTAGCAACCGCAAAATGATTGACCGTGTGACCTTGAGTGCCATTTTTGCTGGAAACGGAGAATGCAAACCAGATAAATAGAAATGTGGAAATACTGTTCCACGGCTACGATCCTTCCCCTTTTCCTGGCCCGGCCCTTGCGTGCTCCACTCACCCAGTGGCATCCCAATGCCATAGCCCTTGGTGTCAAGCAGGCCCCCGATCTGTGTGAGGTTGCAGTTCAGTCTCCGGTGGTACTCGTTCATAGTGCTCTCGAGCAGGAAGGCGTATTTCGAATTGAGCACCCTGGCGATTCCCTCCTCCGTGCTCTTCACGAAGACACTCGGCTGCTTCGAATGCATGTAATTCCACATCCGCTGGTACGTTTGGTACCGAGAATTCTGGGTGAAAAGAAAGACCGGCAAAGAGTGAGGGCACAAAGGAGGCAGGGTTGCGCAAGCCATCCCTCACGCGTCCGCAGGCTCTTCACTAGCAAAATAAAACCACGGCAGGCAGGGTGTGCACATAACGGGAGTGAGGGCCCGATTCCCTTGGTATTCCGCATTTCTTCAGGGCGAGGCGCCTGATTCTCCCACAGCTGGCAACCCTTTCAGGAAGGCTCGACTGAGAAAGAACGGTAGAATTTGCCGGTGGTAAACGCAGGCAGTCTAAATCAGCAGCAAAGCATAATGGAAAATACAGTGGCTCCATTCAGCTTGTTTCCCAGTTCAATTTACCCACTAGAACATTCTGTATCGTTCTGCCCCAGGAGGTGGCAGGTGTTTTGCCACGAACGAAGTCCACCAGGTGGCGGCAGCAGACGTGTAGCCCAAGGGGAAGTGAAGAGGACCACCAAAGCTTTCCACGACGGCCCACTTCTCCACTACAACCACCCAGGGGATCTTTACTGATGGAGATTGAGGTGCAGGTGCACCGCTGCTACAGCCTGATCTCCCCCTCCCTCTCCCCCTCCCCCTCCCTCTCCCTCTCACACACACATCATGTTCAAGCACCCAGCCAATTTGGAATTGCAGCTTTGTAGCAGAATCGAGGCAAGCTGCTTGCTCCCAAGCCTTAATACTGCACTGTCTTTTAGCATGTCAATGGGGGAGCGAGGCAGCTTGTGCTACAGAGTAAAAAAAAAAGCGGGGGGGAGATGACCTTTTCTGCCCCGTTCTTCCAAAGCCAACGGACAACATGAGAAAAAGAAGGTGTTTCGATTCTGCTTCCTTTTTATTTTTTTAAGCACCCAGCAATAAGGGATCTCACCAGTGACGTTTTCTTTGGGCAAAAAGGTGCATTTTACATTGAATAAGGGAATGACATTTTGACCCCAGACTTTGTCTGAGGTACCACAGAATAGTCCTGAAGAACCACCTCCAAACTGGGAACTCGATCGTTAATTCCTCTGCATTTGGTGGCACAGCAGCTACTATTTGAGGTCAGGAAAGCAGCTTCAGAGGAGGGCTAAAGGGGGAAGAACAAGGGGAGCGAAGACTGGAGCGATCCAGGGAGAAGGCATCCTGAAGTGACGTCAGGGTCCTTCCCTCCTTGTCTGAAAACACAGTTGTGAAAATGCAGAACAGGAGGAATGGCAGAGAGGGAGATGGCCCGGGCGGTCGACAGTCTCCCTCTTGGGGGCTTGCGTTCTCCACGGGTAAACGGTAAAGGTAAAGGTTTCCCCTTGACATTAAGTCCAGTCATGCCTGACTCTAGGGGGCGGTGCTCATCTCCCTTTCCTGGCCAAGGGAGCCGGCGTTTGTCCGCAGACAGTCTCCGTGGTCATGTGGCCGGCAGGACTAAACACCGAAGTGCACGGAACGCTGTTACCTGACCACTAAGTGGTACCTTTTTATCTACCTGCATTTGCATGCTTTCGAACTGCAAGGTTGGCAGGAGCTGGGAAGGAGCAACCGGAACTCACCCCATTGTGCAGATTCGAACCAGCGACCTTTCAATCTACCAGCACAGCAGCACAGTGGTTTAAACCACTGCGCCACCTGCCGTCTCCATGGGATTCTACCCTAAATAAACCAGGCCCGTTCCATCTATTATCCCCTAATTTCCACACCCACACCAGACACCATTTTGCATGTCCTGGGAGTGTGCAGGTCCTTACTGGGATGCTTTTGTTTGCAATGCTTTTTCTTTTACTTTTTGAATACATATAATTCTGCATTCCTGAGGATTGCCCACAAACTTGCAAAAACCACTGGCTTTTTGGGGTGGCCCCATTCTGCTTTCTGACCAATAGGGACCAGAGCAGCCCAGTTCAGTGGCAGAAAGGGGAACCCCTCCTTTGAGGGAAGAAGGGTTTGCTGCACTTTGCTCTGTTTTAAAGTAAAGCCAAGCATCACAATGCAGAGAGTCCCCATTAAAAAGTACTTTCCAGCACACCTGCAGCCTGCAGTAATCCAGTCACTGTATGTGGCAAAGCTACAGCTTTGGGACGGTATAGAAAGGGATTTGTGGGGCCCTGAGCAAAGCCAGACTAGAGAGGCCTTTCCTTTCCTTTCCTTTCCTTTCCTTTCCTTTCCTTTCCTTTCCAGACGGCCTACCACCTTGTTTGTTGATTGATTTCCCTTCATTAACGTCTCCTAGAGTGGAGGCTGCTGTTACTGTGGAGACAGGTTGCTAGAGCAACCAAGAGCAGGATGGAATTAGACAAAAAAGAGAGGGAGATAAAGCAGGCCTGACCAGACCGGTCACTGCCACCTTAGCTACTGTTGCCGTGGAAACCTCCGGCCCTGACCACTCCTGCCCCTTGCCCAGCGCACTTGGGCCAATGCGCCAGGCCCCAGTCCTGAGGGATGCACAAGGCAGACGCAGCGCGAGGCAGGTCAGGGCAATTTCCAAGGAGGGGCCAGGCCCATAGGCCCGCTTAAGCCCAGGAGACAGAAGCCGGGCTTAAATGCTGGGAGCGCAGGTCAAAGTAGCCAGCCCTCCACCAAGTCACGGACGCGGCTTTGCAGAGATTCCCCCTGCCAGCCTCCTGGAAGAGCCTAAAAATACCCAGGAAGAGAACAAAGAAAAAGTGAAGGGCTTCACTTTTAAGCATAAACCGTGCAGGAAGCCTCTGAGTTGACGGACAGTGAAGAAATGAATAAATAAATAAATAACAATTCCAAATACAGGAGAGGACTGGACTCTGGTACCTTTCACAGCAGTCTGAAAAAGGGGATTTTGGCAGGAAGCCCATTGTCTTAGAGGGATGGAAAAAGCGGCCTCGGCCCAAATTTCCCCTTTGAGAACGAACAAGAGATCTTATAAGCCTTTTCGTATGACTTGCTTTGTCTAAAACTCATACACTATACCCTGGGATTCACCAAGAGGAAGGGCAACTTAAAACATAATGCTAATAAATACTAAATAACATTTATGCATTCATAATGTTAATCAATAAAATGCTAATAATTATCACCCTTGATACCTGATTACATTTACAAAACAAAAGTGCAGGGTGCAGGAAGTATTCTGTATTGGAAGTCGCTCCTCCCAATTGCAGGTGTATGTAGAGTTTAGCCGTGTTGGCTGAAGGAAAAACTACTCTCAGCATGCTCAGAGATCCCCTTTCCTTCACATTGTGTCTTTCTACTCTCGAAGGCTTTGGTGTTGGACTCTGGTGAATGCTGGTTTAGATTCATAGTATTTGGCACTTAGATTGGGCCTTGAAAAGTTTCACTTATAATATCTCTGCAGGCTGAAAAGGCCCACACATAATATCTCTGATCGTTCAAGAGCTGGGTCATTGTCATTACGGACACACAGCAGATGCCGACAGGAAGGCAGGTGCCTAGGGCAGGTGATGCTGAACTCAAAGCAGCTCCTAGAAAATTCTACCAGTAAAGCTCACAGCTTCCAGGGTTTCCCAGAAGTTTCGCTGCCACAGGACAGATGGAGCTACTTCCTGACTTTTTTTTCTAATGAGGAGGAACATTTCATGGGAAAACTCCTTCAGCGTTCAGTGCTTTCCCACGCCCACAGAGCCTTGCAAACATCCTGCCCTACCCTAGGAGGAGGTCTAAAGTCAGACAAAAAGGCAACAGCTTAGAAAAGGCAGACCAGGAAGGGCCGCTATCCGGGCAGGGAGGGCATCTCTCACCTGGAAGAAGGTCATTGTGGAACCAGCATGGATAGTGCCATATTCGATGTTGGTTTGGTCAGCCAGGTCATCTGCCGATTCGATGGGGACCTCCATTCTCTGCACAGTGAGGAAGGCAGCCAGGTTGGCCGTATAGGAGGAGATGATAATCAGGGTGAAGGCCCACCTGCGACCCAAGCAAGAACACAAGCCCAGTTCACACAGGAAAGTCGGCGCTGAGGACGCCAAAGGGACCCAATTTTCCCCCAGTGTGACTGAGAGTTTTTATTGTACTGTGTATTATGGTTTTAGCTATTATTGTAATCTATTTTTATCGGTAGCATTGTTAGGACTGTGATGTGAGCTTCTCAGAGCGCCTTCTAGCAATGGGGCGGGCATAGAAACGCCATAAATAAAGAAACAAGAAGGAACACGGTTATTCTCAAGTTTGAATGATTACAGTCTTTGCTGAAGTTAAATATGGCAAGGTGCTGTGGTTCAAAACTACTCGGACTTTTGTTCCCTCAGTAAAGGAACATGGTTGCCATTGATAAAACAGGGCAGTGATGAGGGACAGCCATTCTTGGTATGCTCAGAGGCATTCCTTGCCACCGATCCTACAGAAGCAGAGAAAAATCATTCCAGCTGAGATCTCAGTTTCAGAAACCAGCACCAGTTTCAGAAACAAATTCCAAGCTAAACACGAGGTGATCCCAGCTCAAATAAATAAATAACCCTAGGCATTAATTAATTAATATTTATTAATAAGCCTCTGGGGAAAAAGGGGGGGAAAGCTGCTTCCTGCCTGTGGGAGAGTTGGAAACAACTTTTTCCTTCTCTGGTTAGATTCCAACCATCAAAATGATTGCCCAAAACTCCTACCCAAACCGGTGAGAAATGCCAGGTATCCAGCAGTCACCAGCCATCAAAATCTAGCAATGCTCATGTAAGCACAGGTGTTCAGTTAAATCCACAAGAATACCCGCTAACATCCTTAGCTAGAGGGAAGGTCATCTCTGCACCTGACATAGACCAAGAGCATTCCAGGTAAGTGACAAAGGACAGGGGGCGCAATCTCATTGCTCTCCCTGCAATGCGTAGAATCCCCCGAACTCAAAAGCTGACATGCTTGCTATGCCTCAAATGAAGAGTAGCAGCCATGCTTTCTGGCCTGCCGCCAAACCTCACACCCTGAATTTTATCTAGACCATCTAGATAAAGCAGCGGGGTGGGAGGGAGAAGGAGGCCAGCATGCCCAGTGAAACTAGCGCTCCCGCCACATTTTTTCTCTCCTCCAAGCTGCATCTGCAACCGTGGAAGAGGCACATGGCCCAGGTGCAAAACAGGTGGGACAGTGAGCAGGGTTTCCGGGCTAGGACCCTGAATATTCCTATGGCCCCCTCTCCCCAGTCAATGCTGGGCGGCCACAGGATTTGTCCTAAATGTGCGATCCTATTGGCATTAGGAGAACCTATCTTAAGTTAGTCTAAGTCTTAGTCACATATAGCAAGTGAAAGACCTGTTATGTTTTTATAATGAGGACTGACTTTTAGGACACATACATTCTGTTTTATATTTTAGCAGAATGAGCTGAATGAGCTCTGGAGAAATTGCTAATGAGATCTGGGAGCTACAAAGTGCAGCTATATCCAGGTTGGCAATTGATTCAAAACTTTTTAGTTGATTAATAATCTGCCTTTTAATTGATGATTCAATTGATGAATCAAGTAAAGTCACATATCACTGAACCATTAAGTGCCTCCCTGAGATGCTGAAGAAACAGCAACTCAGTAACCCTGAATGGCGACTCCTTAGCTTCTTTATTATGATTTCCATTTTTGTTCTCGATTAGAGTGACATGCAGAACGAAAGCAGCCTCCAAAGAAAACAAATGCGCTCTTAATTCACAGTCCCACAGATTAAATGTTGTCCTCTCCAATTAAAAATGCCCCCCACCGATTAATCAGCCCAAGCTTTAGTACCAATTAGGCTACCAATTAAGGGATGCAGACCTAATTAATATCTCCGGAAAGGAAAATCAGATTCATAGAAGCCAGAATCACAGGTTTAAAGAGGCAGCTCTGAATGGGACTGAAGAAGAACAGCAAGATTTCAGTGGTCTGAGCAGAGACAAAATGGTTCTGTGTATCTGGACGATGAGGCGCTTGGCATTTTCCAGATCTGCCCCAGGCCTCTGTCCAACCAACCGAGGCCCCCTCCACCCAGTGGCCCTGTCCCCCACCCATCGCCGCTCGGCAGGCTTGCAAGATGCACACACAGCGGTCGCTCACCAGACGCCACTGACGCAGCGGGTCGAGAGGGCCCGGGGCATGATCTCGGACCCCTGCTGCATAAACCCTCCAACTGGAAACCAGAGGCTGTTCCCCAGCGTGTACTGGTTTTCCAGAATGTTGTGCCGCTCCCGGAGACAGGGGTGCGGGTTGTACCATTCGTAGGGGCTCAGCCTACAAAAAGGAGAAGAAAGCAAGAGCGCCAACTTACTTCCAAGGAAATGCATTTAGGCTCAAGAGCAGATTCTCAGCAGCCTTGCCCAGCAAGCGAGTCTTGCAGGAAGTCCTCTGTGGCTACTGGTCTTGGTGGCTGTATGCCGCCTCCAGAATTAGAAACAGTGTGCCTAGAGAACATGGGCGGACTCGCGTATGACTTGTAGGTCCCCCATGGACAACCGGTTGGTCACCGCGTGAACAGAATACTGGGCTCAGTTCGCATGTGGTCTGCCCAAGGCTCTTCTTCCGTTCGGCTGTTTCCAACACCCTGGAGGATGCCGCACAGCTCGCCCATCCAGGAAAGCAGGGATGGCTGACTAACAACCCATGGATCGAGTGCAATCCTGAAAGCAATTTTATCTTGCCATGGGCCGGGCCACCAGTTTTTAATCAGGAAATGGGGTGAAAAATTGCCCAGTTTCATCCAAATGAGAAAGTGGAGGGAGCAACGTCCAAATCCAAATCCTCGACACGCGACTCCAACTCCTCCCTTTTCTATGGATCACTTACAGAGGATGCATATGATTCTCTCTGCGCATTGTGCTATGCCTGAGCACGTTTTCCATGACAGTGAAAAACTAACTGATGCTGACTCAGAGCACAGAAGAAAGGAAGAGCACAGAAGGAGACCATCCAAAACTCATCACCTTGGCCGCCCTAGTATGAATCCACAGCTTGGGACTACTTACCGGGCAGCTAGGAAGAGGACACAGCTGACAGCAAGATAGGCCAGGAGCATGAAAAGCCAAACAGCTGGGGAGAAGGGATCCAGGAAGGAGAAATACCCTGGTTTGCGTCCCTGTAAGGAAAGTCACCAGGACAGAAAGGGACACACACTGAATCTTTGCTCTCTGCTTCTAGCCCAGTCACTCCAGATTGGGTATAGGCAGTGCTCCATTAGACAGCTTTTCCCAGCTTGCTATGCTCCAGATGTATTGGACTGCAAATACATCATCCCCAGTCAGCATGGCCTCTTGGCCGGGGAAGGCTAAGCTAGGGCTGTGGAACTGCCACAGTGCACTCTGAGAGATCGCCTCCGTGACCCAGTTCAAGCCACGACTGCCCATCGTTTGCTGTTCGGTCTGAACTCTGGGTTGTGTTCCCCCTCACCAGCATGTTGACCTGACTTGCACAACACACAGTGCCTTACCAGGGGTTATTTAATTTATTACCTATGGGCAGCACTTTGCCTGTGCAACTCCCAACTCAAGGCTATACTATAGTCCAGACCCAGCCATGGGGGTCATGCAAGAGTTAAACAACCCTTGCACAACCCTTGCCTGTTTGTATACAACCCCCAGTAGCCCAGTTTGTGCAACATGGCAAGACTCCCCCTAGGGGCTCTATATTCCAAGCAGGGATCAGCACAGCCTACGGCTTCTCAAAGGTCAATTAAGCCATGATGGGTCGTTGTGCTGTGTGAACCCACCCAGAACGTCAGCACCATGCTCACTCGTTTGTTCGGTGTCGCTACAACTGTCTGTGGTTTAAACAACCCATAGCTAGTTGTGACCTGAGAAATGGATCTATAGAAACAGAGCCAGAAGCTGCCCACAAAGTCAGGATTTATGGCCCCAGTGACTAAGAGTGACAATACAACTGCATGTGTTTCTTTTCACTGACAGCTTACTGTCATTCTATCAGGTTTTGGAGAATGAGACTCATGGTGGTTACCTTGATTTCTACTGATTCATTATATGCCTGAGTATTTCAGCCATGCGTTCCCTTACTCTGCTTATAGGCCTTTCACAAGTCCCTGGGCATTTATGATCATGTAGTCTGTCCCTCCCTCAGTGAGCTCAGGAAGCCATGCACCAATCTGCTCTATAAACCCATTTTTAATCCCCATCACCTTGTGAAGTAACTCATACTGGCAAGACAGTGACCTGGTTCATCCTCCACTATCCCACGCTGTGTGGCTGAGGGCTTAGGGTTCTTTGTGGGTTCTCTAACCCCCAAACAACCCCTTCTGTAGGAGTTCGCATCCTATGACAAGCCAGGCACTCAGCATAACACAACCACCACCACGGGTAAATCAACCCATCATGGCTGTTGTGATAAGCGAACGCACTCAGTGGCTTGCCCAAAATCTCCCAGCGATCTTCACGGCTTAACGAAGGATTTACACCTTCAGTCCAAATCCAACAGTCTTAACTCAGCCTTCCTCAAGGTGGTGCTCTCCAGATGCTTTGGACCCTAACTCCCAACATTCCAAACTATTGGACATGCTGGCTGGGGCTGATGGGAGATGAAGTCCAAACTATCCGGAAAGTGCCTGAATGTGGACAGGTACTCCGATCGTGTCATCAGCTGCCTCTGCAGAGGAGAGATGATACACCTGCTGCTTCTGCGATCACAGCTTGCGACCCTCCCAGCGTGATCAAACGTGAAGAAAGAAAAAAGACAGGGGCAGTTGCATCAAACACCGCAAGAGGAAACTGTATTCTGCACATCCACCTGAATGGAGGAGAAGCCCATTCAGAAAGCAGAAGTATTCCTTAACGAGTTTCCCCTGATCAAATAAATATTGCTTTAGCAAGAGTGCACTGCATCAGATGCAGAAACCTGAAAATTAAAGCTTAAAACCTTCGACTTAAAATGGTGGCAGTGCCCAGCCGTTCTCAGCTCGGCACAGCTACTGAGACCGGCCGTGCTATCCTGGGCTTGGGAGGGTCCACCCCATTGCCCAATTGCTCACTCCTGTCCCCTCCCAGTGTCACCAAACAAGGTACACGTACCATGTGTACACGGTACAGGATGCTGATTCCCAGGGTCATGAAGGGCTTGGAGAAGTCGATGACCTTCTCCCGCTCAGCTGTGATGGTGAAAGCAGCCACTGCCAGATCAGCTTTCTGCGGAGCAAAGCACAGTGACCCCTGGCTGTCACTCAGAGAACTGCACATCCCAACCTGCACTACACTCTATGCTGCCCTCTGCTGGCTGGGAGCAGGAACACAAAGCTGTGCCTTCCGCCGCCACCCTCCAGCCATGTGAACGGTGACGGTGAACAAACAGCGCAGCTTCTCGGGGAGCGACGAAAAGATCCATTTGCAGTGAAGTTTGCAGGGACCTCAGACAAGACCTTGCAAGCAGAAAGGCAGCAGCATGGAGGAGAGTCTTGCGGGGAAGTGAGGCTGTGGGCCAGGAAGGCCAAGCTGCTGCTGAGCAGTGGGAGACACCCCCACCTCTTATATGATTAGACTCAATCAGCCAAATGCATGACCGCAGGTCGCCAGTCATCTTATCCAGAGAATGCCTTCCCCATGTAGGCAGTTGAAAATTATGCAAAGTTCACATAATCATTTCTAGAAAGTGTTCTTAACACATGGCCAGAAAACCTTTGCCGTGCTCCTAATTCCAATGTGCCCGTGAAGTGAAGCAACGGCAACACCGGGGGCTTCTTGCCCCACCTGTTTCTCTAGTCCCTCTGGTGGACCCGAGGAGCCAAATGCATCCAACAGCCAAAGGCTGTGGTGTCCTCTTCTGGTCGGTGAGCCGAGAACTGCAGCAGATGGGAGTGCTTTCTGCAGTTCACTAAAGGCACTAGCCAATGCCAACTGGGACAGAAAAAATGGCCAGGTGAGGCATGCTGGGAATTGCAGGCCATTTTTCTGCCCAAATGGAAATAGGATTGCACCCTAAATCTTTCACGACATCTGCTGCTGCTCTGTCACTTTCAAAATAAATACCAGCTTTTCTACATATAATTGCCTTTCATACCCATTGCTGAAAAAGTGCTAGGAACCCAAAGAATCCAATACTCAAATCATTATTCCTAACTAAGTGCTAGTTTGGGCTTGCAGCCCAGCCTATCTATACATACTGCAAAATGAGACAGCAGAATTATTCGGGGTTAAGAGGGGAATGTCCTACTTCAGGCACTGGAGGCAAAGATGCTACTTCTGAATGCTTTCTCATGGTCAAAAATAGATCAATAAACAAACAAGCCACCCTCCAAAATAAGTTAGCACCAGGATGGGAAAATAGTCTAGCCCTGTTTTGCTAACTTTCTACTTGCTGTGAGTTTTCCCTGTAAAGCAGCTTTCAACAAACTGAGCACCACCACACCGCACACCCCTGTAATCAGAAATAGTACAGTCCATTCTGCCTCCACCACACCAAGAATCTGACCTACTGCATTCTGCTGCATGTGTGCACCAGATCTTTTCTGAAAGAGGTGCCGTGGACGCAGCATGAGGCATCGAAGAAATCCTAACCCTAGTGCACATCAGTTCAACTGCAAAGGTTCACGCTCAGGTCCTCTCCCACCAGCCTGCAGGGCTTGCACTGAAATTCCGGTTCTGAGCCCTAAAAGCAGGTGGCAGAAGAGCCCCAAGCTGCCCCGAGAGTCTGAGGCCATGGGGCTTTCCTCCAGGGAGAAGCTGGGATGAAGAGATGGAGGGGGGGTGTTTCTCAGCAGCCGTACCCTGTTGATGAGCTCTCCCACCATGCCAGTCCAAGATCCATTGGGCTCAGGGGCTCCGTAGAGTCCATCCTCCACTAGCTTAATCTGGAAGCGGAACTTCAGGATGTCGGCAAGTTCGTGCAGCACGTCCACACAAAAGCCCTCATACTGCTCGGTGCCGGACAGTTCCTGGAAGTTTGCACGGCGCATCACATAGGGGTTCTCCTGCGGGAGAGAGCAGGGAGCCGTGAAGAATCCTGCAGCTGGCGTTGTGCCGTCCAGAGGACACGTGCAAGTAGAAGGTTTTCAAGAGCGTGGACTATTTCGACAGGGAGTCTTGGTTCCAAGATAGCACAAGACCAACCCCACTAAACACCAAAAATCCTCAGGGAACATCGGAGGGGGGATGTGAAAGCCACATTGCCTGGGGACTAGTACATAAGAGGCTGTGCACTAAGGTCAGAGGGCCCCCCAGTCCCCCTCCCCATGTCTTTTCTCATCTGTAGGAGCACAGGAAGCTCCGTTTGACTGAGTTGGACCATCGGTTCATCGTAGCCCAGTTTGCCAACACTGACAGTAGCCCAGTGCATTCCAGACAGCAAGTTTCAGCTCTCCAGGACTTCAAACTTCAGGAAGGGGCAGGAACTCGTTCAGCCCCAGCTGAAGATAAGGATCGTCTGCAACCAAAGCAGGCACTGTAGCACAGAGCTGCAGCCCTTCCCCTAATTTCTGCCACCCTCTTTTTCCTTTCTCTCTCCCTCCTGCCACACTTTTAGCAAGTCATTCCCCTTTTCGGAAACCTGTCTCTCTCCCAGGCTTTCTCCCCTCCTAGCAGACTGTCAGGGCAGACATAGCCTGCTCTAGACAGAGGCTGGAGCAGATCGCTTACAGAGGGCTTTCATAATTGCTTCTGAAATGACACAGAGGTGCCCAAGTCGCTATTCCAGAACTAAGCCCCATGTTTTCCTTTCTGCAGCAGCCTGTCAGATGACTCTGGAAGCACACACAGGGCGATGACCCCTTTCCACTCCTGCTCCTCTGCACCATATTTTATTCAGATCAAGCAGGCCTTCTGCACACAAACTTGGCTCAGTATCACACAGAGACTGTGGTCTTCTCTAATTCTTTATGCAATCCAGGCGACATGCCCATCAACACATCTGTACGGCACCCTCCAGAAGTATTGGAGCACAATACCCATCATCCCCAATCAGCATTGTCACTGGCAGGCAGAGAGAGAAAGAGAGAAGGGGTGGACTCACACCTCTTTTGGATCTGCAAATGGTTAGTCCCTAAAACTTGAAAAAGTCTTCTTATTTCAGCACCAAAGCTATAGCAGTTCAGCTACCCCAAAATGACACGAGGTGCTTCTCTAATCCACCCACAGAACATTAGTTATTGGGTCGATTAGCAATGTAATAAATAAATGAATGAATAAATAAATAGATAAATAAATAACACACACACACGGTTCAGAGCCAGTTACGTGCATTGGATTATCCAGTATAAATTCTTATGGGAGACAGAGCTAAATTGCCCCCACCCACTCTCTCCACACCATGGGTACATTCACACAACCCACTGTGAGCTGTTGGGTTGGATGTTGACCAGACAACCCAGGGTGCTCCTGACAGAGGACCAAGACCACTGAGTGACCCTTCTTTCCTCCTCCTCCTCCATCTACTCACAAGAATCCCAGGGGACACTGTGGCAGGACCTACAATTTTCCCCTCTTCCTGCAGTGATGACAAGCCCATTTTGGCTCTCCGTGGCTTTTTTGCACTTTACCATGATGGCAAAAGCCAGTCTGACAGCCAGTTTTCATGATCCCTGCTTGATAGCCACGGACAGCCTCTCTTCAAAGCCCAAGCGGTGCCTTGGATGGGTTGTCAGATCTTTTGCGTGGGCCATAGGACTGAATCCCCTGTCGAAACCCCCTTTGAAAGGGACCCAGGAGCTACACAGACCAGCTGCAAGAGCCTTGTAGAAGCAACAGTCCCAACACTATCAGTATTTCTCCCTCTTGGAGGACAAGATGAGCCTGCTAAAATTCTCCTCTGTACCAGTTCAGGGACCAGGCCATCTCTGGCTCTGCTTACACAATCTGCCAGCTACTCCCTCACTGCAGAGGCCACAGCCTCTCAGTCAGAAGCCCACTTTTAAAAGGCAGGACAAAAACCCCTCCGGGACACTTGTGGCCTCAACAAAGCCAGGGTTTCGGCCCACCAGAGCAGGGGGCAGCCTTACCAAGATGGTGGTGACTATCAACGTCTTGTTGACCAGACTCTCCGAGACATTGATGTCCAGCGTCGTGGCATTCATGGCAAGCGTTCTGTTAGAGTACCACACCCCAATCTGCAGAGAGGGGAAAGATTGCGGAAGGGTCTCAGCCCTTCAGAGCTGCGGAACATGCATTGGTTACTTCCCAGTTGGATTTCTGTAACGCGCTCTGCGTGGGGCTGCCCTTGAGGACAGTCCGGATACTTCAGATGGTGCAAAATAGAGCAGCCAGGTTGCTGACGGGGACTGGGCGTTACTCTCACATAACCCCAGTCCTCTACCAGCTTCACTGGCTCCCCATTGAAGTCCGGGCTCAATTCAAGGTGCTGGTTATCACCTACAAAGCCCTTAACGGCTTGGGACCTGGATACCTAAAGGAACGCCTTCTTCCATATTTGCCCTCCCGCCCCCTCAGATCGGTGGCAGAGGCCCTTCTCCGGGAGCCCTCCGTGAAAGACATTAGGAGGGTGAGTACCCGGAGGAGGGCTTTCTCTGCGGTGGCGCCCCGCCTATGGAATGCGCTCCCCAGAGAGGTCCGCCTGGTGCCTTCGTTATTTGTTTTTCGGCACCAGGCCAAGACCTTTTAATTTAAACACTATTTTAACAATTTTTAATATCATCTATAGGTTTTTTAATTTGCAGCCAGGGTGAATCTGGATTTTATGTGCTCTATTCGTATCGTGTTTATTTATTGCATGTAAGCCGTCCTGAGGCTCATGCAAATCGGACGACATACAAAAATTCTAAATAAATAAATAAACACCCTTCATTTGCACCTCCAGTGTGTTTGAGCTTCAAGCCCTTATCGCCTGCCCCTGAGCCCCGGGAGCTGCATTTCAGCCTATCAGAATGGGGAGGAAATGCACAAAACCTGGCAAACCAAACCAGGTATGCAAGGACAGGTGTGAAACCGAAGAGAGCCAGATGGGGGCCACGGCCTGCAAGAGTCTGCTTGCGCTTTGTACGTCAGGACAGGAACTATTTGCGCTTTGTACGTCAGGACAGGAACTATGACAGAGGACGTCAGAGTTGGTCAACACCAGAACGCTGGTAATTCTGCAAACTCCAGGTTGCAAAAAGATCAAGGCTCTTATGTGGGACCACAAAAACTTTTATCTTTAACTTGTCTGCAAAGTGCGTAAGGGCCTTGCAGAACAATTCTATGCCTGTGCACCCAGAGGCAAGTGAGGAAGAGGCTGCTGATGGCCATGCCAGGAAGGGCCCTCATCCATGGCAGCGTTGAAGACCATTTCATGGTGCTCCATGGCGATTAACTGATTTTGGGGGTGGAGCTCAGCACCATGGGTAGCCCCTATAAAGCTCAATATAAAAGCTGCAAGGGATGGGAAGCCCCAGTGTCCTGGGTGTCGTCAGCCTGCCCTGGGAGAGCCACACTGACATCAATGGGCCTTTCTTCCCAAATGAGCAAGCACGAAGCCGGAGGTCTCTCAAGGTTACCATTACACAGGTGCTGGTTATGCAGCGCATAAAGGAGGAGGCACGCATGCAGCCGGCTGGCATGACCTGGGATTCACTTGGCCTGAAAGCTGAATGGGGAAGGAGCGGGCAGGAAGGGCATGAGGCAAAGCGAGGCCTGCGCTTCATGCTGCAGAGGCTGGAAGGGGGCAGTCAAGTACCCAGCGACAGAGGAGAGCCAGCAGGCTTGTCCCACGTGCCCTGGGCTAGCCGGCTACCTGGAGTGACCATGAGGGCTACCTGTCCCCCCATCAGGGCTGAAGAAAGAACGGACAGGCCAGCTGGCTTGCATGCACCGAACGAGGAAGCACCCCCTGTTTCTGGCAGCACAGTGCTTTGGGCCGGCCCCTCACGGGTCCCCTCTTACCTCCCGGTGTCCGTGGCGGGCTTTTTCCAAGATTCGCAAGGTATAATTGGTTCTCTGGCCCTTGCTGTTGAATTCCACGCGCCCCGTCAGCCCGTCATACTCTACCTGGCCGGGGATGGAGAGACAGAGATGGGGGTTGGAAGGGGGAAATGAGACAGGAAGGGGAACAGAAGCAGAAGGAGAAAGAGTGAGGCATGATCCGCACCCGGGTGAAGGCCAGAGGGATGCCTAAGGATGCATTTCCGCGTCCCCTGCATCGGGGGCAGGCAGCCTGGGGTCCTCAAGGCATTTTGAACTAAACCTCCTACCAGAGCCGGGCATGGTGTAGCCAGCATGGCTAGAATGATCGACTGGGACCCAGCAGATCGAGGTTCCAGTCCCCACTGAGGCATGAAGCTCACCAGGTGACTTTGGGCCTGTCATACACCCTCACCTTAATCTACCTCACAGGGCTGTTGTGAGGATAAAACTGAGGATGGGAACTATTTTAGGTGTCTTTTGGTTCATTGCAAGGGAAAAAAGGTGACACATAAATGTAATATAACTATAATGTAATATAATTATAACTAACATCAACCAGCATAATCATAATCATGACCACGACCATGATCATGATAGGTTCAGTTGATGGGAGCTGTAGTCCAAATTTTCTGGAGGGACTCAGGCTGCCAACCGCTACCCCAGATTCATCCCGTCCTACGTCCGAACTTTGGGTTCCTGTGTGTACGTCACTTTAGGGCATCCACACACCGGCAGGAGACATATGAAAGAGTTACCAGAGATGCAACATGCGTATTTCCCTTAAAAATTGTTTTGCCCCAACCCCTAACATTAACTGAGCCTCCCCTGGTTAAATGGCTGAGTAGCTGTGATGTCAAGGAAGCCCAGAAATGAACACTGGCAGAGCCGTAACTTCAGCTGATCAGAAGTTGGACGGATGTCATGACAGCTGGAAGCAGGTACATGACTCAGGGCAGCTTCTCAGCACCAAGGGCCACCTCACAGAAGCAGCTGTGTGCTGCTAGCCAGAATGGTACGGAAAGTCCAGGAGAGGCCATCACAGCCCTCGCCGCCGTGAACAAAGGAGGCAAGCGGCTGTAATGATGGAGGGGAAAATGCAGGCATTTAGTTAAGAGTTTTTGAGAAGTCTGGCCATCTGCACGGCCCATTAGCTCCCTACTGAGGAGCAGAAGTCTAACGTGGGGAAGCTAATCAGCGTGCGACACTCTCTTCCACAGGACTGATGTGTTTCCTCGAGCCACCCATATGCGGCTCTCGTATTTTTCCCAACCCTGAGCCAATGTTTGAGTGTGTTTGGGAGCAACCTCATCAGCACACACTTCAGACTCAGCCAGGACACTTCCTCATGAGTAAATGGCTACCTAGTATAAAAGGAACGTCCCCGGGCATATCTCACCATGCGCAGGTAGTTCATCAGGCTGGTCCCGTGCTGCCAGATGTTGGCGGAGGTGCAGGCCAGGGGTCTGACCCCGATCTCCTGGCTGCGGTTCAGCTCCCGCACAGCGCTCACCACCACGTGGACCGCGTCGAACATCAGCGCCGCTGACAGCTGGAGATGGGCACAGAGAAGTCAGCCAGGGCTAAAAGGCACATACACAGAGAGACGGGACTGCACTGCCTTCCTTCCTTCCTTCCTGTTAAGGGGAGTCTGGCAAATGATGCCCATTTGGATACCCCAGGTCCAGAGGCAATGCATTAATTGGCTATAAACTATCCCGAGACATCTAAGTATGGGATGGTATAGAAAAGTTTCAAATGAATAAATAAAAATAAATCTCCGAGCACTAGTTGGAGAAGAGATGGTGCCTGGATGCAGGTCTTGGGAACAGCAGCAGTGTCCCTACAGGCATCTAGAACCTGGAGCCAGAACCTGGAGCAAAGAGACCTTGGGCTTGATCCCGTACAGCTCCCCCATTTTCTTGGGTCTATTCCTGCAGTGAGTACCACTAAATTAGATCAACCGATACCTGTGGCACCAGACAAGCACCTCCAAGTGAGCAGCCAGAGATGCTGATGAAATGAAAAACAGTCTGGATTTCTCTCCTTCATTTCTCTCTTTCTGGCTGATGAGCTACAAATTATTAATGTTGGTGGTGGTACAAACATTCAACAGGGTGACTATTAGAATGTTTGCAACCCATTTTGAGTCCGCTGGAGGCCCATTCAAGTCCTGATTAGGCTCATCTCTGCAGCAGGTTTAATCTACCTACCCAAATCAACAAAGACATCATTTCTGCTGATTTCAATAGGTTAATGAGGCCACGTGCCTGGATACAGCCAGCGGGAACCATTAGCTCCTACTGAAGACCGGCTGATTGCCCCAGGTCTTCAGGAGGGGTTGATGGCTGCCCCCCAAGCAGCCCTTCTTAGATAAACAACCTCTTTCAAACTCTCCCTTTCAAAATCAGTAGAGCTATCCTAGCCCCCTCCATTTCAAGAAGCAAAGTGCGAAGTGCCCATGTTGGCGTGCTCATGGTCTAGGATGCCTGAGCACTCCTGTCAAAGCCCCCAGAGGTTTCATGAGAGCTCCCAAACGGTGCTCAGCAACCCCGATGGTTGCCGAAGGAAGGCATGTTAAGCATGCTCTGCAGTCGGGGCAGCTGCTCGAAAAGCCTGCGGCACCTCAGCGAGGTTAATTCGTTCACAAAGTTGAAGGCATTGCTTCTTAAGACATGGACATGCAGGCTGCAGCCCACAGAAGTTGCTCTTCCAGCCAAGAGATGCTCAGACTTCCCTGTGGGCCTTGTCCACTCCCATCTCCAAGCCCTGCCTTTGGGCCAAAAGGCCACTGGAGCAAGAGGAGGGCAGAGCATAAGCAAAGTCGAGCCCCCAATCAGCTCTGCTTCACTGGTCCACCTCCCAGGTGGAGGATCCAAGAGGTAATCAAGGAGGTGAAGCCATGGCCATGTTTGACCTGACCGCATTCACCCACCTGGGTTTTGTGACCACCCGTATTTCTGATGCACACCTGCTCCTTCGCGCTGGCTTGCCACACTTACCGCAGGCCCAGGGTAAGGGCTGAGCTCACAGTTCTCCCGCCAGGACATGTTGAGGCTACGGACAAACTCCATGTAGAAGGGGTGGCTGGTATTAAACATGGAGAAGCCCAGGACATTGGAGTGGTCATCCACAATCCCGTCCAAATGCAAGATTGGGAAGTCCTGTGGAGGATGGTTAGAAGCAGAGTGTTAAAGCACGGACAAGGCGCTCTCTGCACTCAATCCTAACTGGGCGCAGTTGAGAGTTCACAGAAGAGGAGGCAGAGGAGCCAGGCAAGGTCAGAAGGTGCCCGAAAGGATCGGACCACAGCTACACCTGGCGGGCTGTTATTAAAGCTGGATCGGGAGAATGGAGGAGCTTTGCTCACAGTTGTCGTTTCCCCATCAGTTCCGCAGCTTTAGCTCTTTAAGTAGGGGATTTATTTCCTGCCTTCTCCACAAGTCCTTTGAAGGAACCATGTGGGAAAGCTTAAGAGTGGCTTGGCCAGTTTAGCTTCAGAACAACCCTGTGAGGTAGAGAAGGCTGAGAGACAGAGCATGTGGGTGGATGAACCGTATAATCAACGCGGCAGAGTACGGAGTGAACCCAGGTGTCCGGCTCTCTGGCTCTCTAGCCACCAGTTACTGAACCCAAGATCTTCTTCCCATCTTCCTAGGCCTGCACTACAAATCCCATCTCAGCAAAACAAATGCCTAATGTATTACATGGCCCAAATGGCAGATAGTCCAAGACACAAGTAGCATATTTATTCTTAATTATCATTCTGTGATTGAGAAAGTAATTCAGGTGTTAGTGTATTTTGACACCAAACTGAATGCCTAACTCAACAAGTGCCTCTAATTTCACAGCTGCACAAGCTGCATGCTAATATTTCAAATTGGTATACATACAAAATTCAAAATGGAGATGTGAAGATAAAACAGAACTAAAAGGGAAATGGAAATTAACAATTCTTCCTTAGACCTGAAAAAAATTTCAGGGGACTGAGGCCAGGATAAGTATTTTCAATGCTGCTCCCTCCCTGAAGACCATTCCGAATGAAGCCAATGCTTCCTGCTCTCGCTCTAAATTGTCTTTGTGGCTTCATGACACAGCCAAATCAGATACAGACCAATCCAGTGTGTTTATAATTTGATTTGTAATTAATTCACTGGGGTCAGAAAAGGAGGGCAAACAAGGGATGCCAAATGGTGCCAAAGCAGTAGCAGAGAAGGAAAAATACAGCTGCAAAACGTAAAGGACAAACACAGTAAAAGCCTCATCTAATGAAATTCAGCAGAACAGTGGGGAACATAACTTTAAAACAGTTTTAAAAAATTACTCATGTCACATAGCCACTGCAAGATTTAATGGATTTATGATTTATCTCTTAATAAATGCAGGCACTGAGGACAAACATATGTTGACTATTTACATATATTTTGGGAATCTCAGAAAATTAAAATATATAGATGCCCAATGTAATTGAGCAAATTACAGTACAAACTCCTAGATGATCCTTGGAGTATTTTGTTTGAAAGGATGTGCAGATAGTAATGATTCAGAAATTGTTATTACTCTGCTTACAGCTGCAAGCTACATTTTAAGAAAGACTTGCACCTTCATTATCTGACTGTTTTCTTCAGAACCCAGGGATACAGCCATTATAACAAAACATTTTAGTTATGCACAGGCTACAGGAAGCTAAATGGAGGATATGAAGTTTGTGCAAAAACAGAAACTATACTATAACTTGGATTCAAACTTGAGAGAGCAGCCCTCATGTGGCCTTGTGAAAAGAACGCAGTGAACTGTTTCAGTGCTTACAAAGGTTTGGGGCCTCACTCAGGCCAGGATAGGATACAGAGCAGTTTCCTTTTTTAAATTTCTGCAGCCTGATTTTTAAAAATCCCCTACCCTTCCACTGAAAATATGGAGAGGAGATTAACTATGCCAGCCCCTGGCTGGTGTACTCAATTTTTTTTACATAATGCAGTTAATTATTGTACATTCATTTGGTCTGGGTGCAGAACTGAGATCCCAGTTGCACCCAAAGAGCCGTGCCTTTTCACCTGTATGGCTCCTATGCGGTACTTATAGCAAAATAACACAATTACACAAGTAGGAAAATGTGTTATTTTGCTTTCAGAAATAATACCCTATTTTCCCTGCTTAATTAAAACAAAAACAAAACTGGGAAAGAGTTCTTTAAAAACAGAAGCGAAACTGGAGAAATCACAAGCGCACCATAATTATGCATCTGGCAGACGCTGCATTTCTAATACTTGGTAACAAAGCAGTTATTGTGTATAATGCAATACACAATATTTTGTATTATATTATACTGTGTATAACACACAGTAATGCTGATAGTATTACTGAAGGGCTCCAGACTGGAGAAGGCGCCCCATCTCCTTACTCAGGAGTAAGCCTCATTGCTCTCAATAGGACAACTGAGTGGGCATACAGAAGGAGATTGCATTGCAAATACTTCCTTAATTCCGATTATCTACCTTTTTTTTTTTCTTAATGTGTTTGGATATTGTCACTGGTCTTATTATGCCCTGATCGTTTAAAGTTCTGGTATGAACATTCCAAGGAATATTGCTAATGTTAATGACACTGATTTCTTTTATGTATCAGTGGGTTTATGCCTGTTCTATTCCTGTGTGTGCTTTTCCTTTTTCTACTATCTGCCATAATAATTATCATGATGATAATGACGACGACGACAAGAACAAGAAATAAATACCAGCTCTCCTGAAAAATGAAATGTGTGGCTTTTGGGATTCCCCTCTCAGTCTAACTTACCTCACAGGGTTGTTGTGAGGATTAAGGTTATAAGGAAGCACCTCTGAAGGAAAAGAGGCAGGATATAAATATAACGAAGAAAGAAACATTTGTTTTCACAAGCAAAAGCTAAAAAGGTATAGTATACCCATTTCAGCCTCCCCCAACCTGGTGAGTTTGGACTGCAGCTCCTATTCTTCCTAAACAGCAAGAGCTATGCAGCTGGGGATGATGGAACTGCAGGCCAACACACCAGGTTGGAGAAGGCTGCTCTTTTGCTTCCAGCTGGAATAATTTTTCTTTCCATTTCAGCAGAAGCTATAATACACCTTTCTACTGCACTTGAGCAAAATTTGGAGGTGTAACGAGGGGGGCAGGTAAGATTCTGTTCTCTAAGAGCTGCTGGGGAAAGCGGAGGAGATGACCGGCAACCCCAGGTTTAGACCGTTGTGTAACTGTGGACAGATGGCTGGAGGATGGAGCAGAGGATCCCGAGTGAAGGATTCATAAAGAGGGATGGTAGCCCAAACCGGTAGCAAAGCTCCGGCATTTCCTTAAAGAAGGATCCTCCTCATCCTTAACGTGAAACTCCAGACAGTTGTACTCCACAAGGGTAAACTCAAAGAGATAAAGCTGAAAAACTCCTTGTCTTATAGGTCAGCCTCCACTCAAAGGGAATATATTGTAACCTTCCAGTGACAAGATTCTGCACAAAACTCAGAACTGCACACCTGAGAATCGCAGCTTTTGTTTAAAAAAAAACACACACACACAAAGCAGGTTTCTAGTCCTCACTGTGTGTCTGCAGTGTTTCAATATCTGAGGGTAATTCCAAGTGAAATTTGGATTACGATAGGGTGGCTAAGCAACATTTCTAGTGGTTAGGAAATGGGGTTGCAGACCTCTACCAACCTGTTTGCCTCTCCCCACAAGGTGCAGAGCGGCCATAGAAATAAGGGCACTTCTGCCTTGTTTATTCAGGTTATAGGATTCAAGTCAGTTTGGCAAAATGTGCTTTCTATTGGGACAATATTCACGCATTTCCCCCTTCATAGCGCACAGAGCTGTGGCAACCTCTATTGTCCCTCGGGTCCTTCTTTGAGGACGCTTTTCTGTGGACACCAGCTGCAGGGTATCTGGGCAAGGCCCGCTCTCCAGAGGCACCTCAGTTCTGAAGGACAAACCACACTGCCCCACAGCTGCCAGACTGGGGCTCCCTCTCCCATTCTTACATTTTAGGTGCCCGATAAAAACGATTCTGCTTTCCTGAGGCATCTCACAATCTGGTGCTACACTCTTTATTTATTTATTATTATTTATTTAGGATTTTTTGTATGCCGTCCCATTTGCATGAGCTTCTGGACGGCTTACATACAATAAATAAATGCAATACAAATCGTGAACATAAAATCCAGATTCACCCTGGCTGCAATTTAAAAAACCTATAGATGATATTAAAAATTGTTGAAATATTGTTGAAATAAAAAGGTCTTAGCCTGGCGCCAAAAAACAAATAACAACGGCGCCAGGCGGACCTCTCTGGGGAGCACATTCCATAGGTGGGGCGCCACCGCAGAGAAGGCCCTCCTCCGGGTACTTTGCCTCCTAATGTCTTTCACGGAGGGCTCCTGGAGGAGGGCCTCTTTGCTGTTTAATCTGGAGTGGGTAATCTTAATTGCTGCAAGCCCATGAAGCAGCGAAGGAAAAGGGCCGTGTCAAGGGCCCTACCTGTAAGTAAAGTGAAGCAGGTCCCTCGGGCAGGTGATGCTAGGGCAGGGGGCAGGGCACCACGGCCAGGTGTTGGAGGAGATGGCGGCACCTGGCTCCCCGGTGGATGCTAAGCTACTCTGCTTCCTGCAGAACAGTGGAGGGCTCTGGCTTGACCCCAGGGCCGGCTTCCCTGCACGGAAGGGGAAGGTCCCTTCTCGCCCTTTGCCTCCGGCAGCAAAAATTCCCTGGGCCGATCCTGGGAAGTGAGAGGAGCAGTGAAGGAGGCCTTCCGACAGGAGGGGAAGGTGGGGGCTGGGAGTGGAAAGTCAGAGCAGGGATGCTGGAAACTTTTACGAAGCTATTTTTGCATTACAAGCTGCTTTGTGGATGTGGAGCTGGAGAGGTGGGATACTTCTGTTTTAACTGATGCATGAATGGAAGGAAGGAAGGAAGGAAGGAAGGAAGGAAGGAAGGAAGGAAGGAAGGAGACAATGACATTTGGGTTCAAGCTATTCAGGGTAGAGCTTTGAGGAAGCAGCTATTTCACCAAAGCAGGGGGGCCTTCCACTTTTTTGTCTGCCCCCATCCAGTGCAGCCAGGGAGGGAAACACCAATACAACTCATTCGTTTACAATGCCAAATCCAACCCCTCTGGGGTCCTACTCCAGCCCTCTAGTTTCCCCAAATGGCCTCCCCTTCTCCCCCTATGACCAGACATGGTGTAAAACCCAGCTTTTTCAAAGGATTTTTCTCCCATTCTAAAATGCTGAAATGAGTCTCCCAAAACTTTAGTTGCTATGAAGAGCTTCCAGCTATCACATGCTGGCTTTTGGGGTGTGTTTGACCCTCTCCTCTTTGCTCCCCCCCCCCCGACTTCCCCCAAATTGAATTTCTCCCTTTGATCAGAAGAGATACAGCAGTCCTGATTCATATTCTGCTTTTTCATATGAATTGGTGCATAACAGAATATTTGATGCTGCGGAATATATAAAGTGAGGGCAAAAAACCCCAACAAAAACCCATTTATACTACGAAGTCAAATTGTGGAAGCACCTGATGGGCAAAGCAGCCCTCACAATTTAATGATCTCAAGGTTGTGGTCAGGAGAGCAATTTTTTTTACCCAGGATTCAAGTTCGGTAAGGTAAGGATTGCCCAAAGCCAGACAGAAGCATTTGGCTGGCGGATCCGGTCCTCACATGGCTGGTTGGCTGCCCATCCCTGTGCTTTCACCTTGAAGTGAAATTTATTTTTAAAAAGCACACAAAGAAACTGACCCTTTGAAAGGCTGTGCTGAGCATCCGAGTGCTCTGAGAAGGAGACACACATCAAAAAAGAAAACATGCCCTCGAGCCGGATTTCAATGGCAGGGTCACCTTTCGTCACTGCTAAAACAGCTGCTGAACCAGATCCAAGGCTTCGCTTCAGCCCTGGACATGGAGTCTGTTTCTGGAGCGAGGGCCAGGCTTCCGACCGCGGGGACAGAACGGGGGGTGGGTTTTGCTGCTGAAAGCAAGAGGCCCTCACCCAGTGCCCCCTCTTGGCGCCCTGGCATGTCGCCCGTGCCCCCACAGCTTGCTTTGGGAGCTAGGAGGAAAATGAGGGGAAGGGGGCTGCCTTCTTGGAGGGCACTGCTTCTCGTTAGGGGCTGCAGCTCGGGGTGGGGAGGCCCCACTGCAATCCAGGTGCTGCCAGTCAGTGTGGGCAACACTGGCCTAGATGGGGCCAAAATTCTGGCCAGGGACAGGGCAGCTTCCCCTGCTGCTGTCCCCTACCCTGGCTGAGGCCAAGCAGCTGTTCTGGGAAAGCTGCCCAGCGGGCCCTCCAGCCCAGTCCTGCTGGTTCAGGCCAGCTGACCCACTGCTGAGCCGTCCTCCCCACTGCGCATGGAGGGTGGGGGCCACAGACACACTTGCACCCCCTGCATGGCATCAGCGCCGTTCCAGTACTAACCATGGTTGTCAGGATGTATTTGTAGAAGGCAGATGTCATCCCCAGCTCCGAAGCCTGGAAAAAGGAGAATTATTAGTGTTCATTAGCTCCCTATCCCACTTTTTTCTTCTAAAGAACCCAAAGCGGCTCATGGCATTCTCCAACTTCTACCACAACAACAACCCTGTGAGGTAGGCTGAGCCAAGAGTCACCCAGTGGGCTCCATGGCTAAGTGGGGACTAGAACCCCGATCGCCTGAGTCCTAGTCCTGCACTCTTCACCACAACACCACAGTGGTTCTCACTGAATCGAAGGGCGAATCAATGCGAGGACCTTGCAAGCCCTCAGGCACTTCTGCACGTGCTCAGAAGTAATATTTGAAAATCCAACCAGCCCACATGATGCTGCACGGAAGGAGGCTGGTAAGAACATGGCTATGAGGTTCAGTGATCCACCCAGAGGTCCCTCTTGCTGCAGGGGTGTCCTGTGTGGCCCCGAACACACAAGGAACCCTTCCGACGGGGACGGGCCTTTCTAACCAGAATGCAGGATTCTGCCCCACTGTCTAGAAAAGCTCTCCGAGGGACTGAGTACTCCTGGGGCGTTCCGGCAAAAGGCAGGGGCTTTTTAAGCAGAATTAAGAGTTCTTTGCACAATCCTGGTTAAGGAATGCTGCTGCCTCCTGGGTTAATGTAACCAACAAAATACAGAATTCCAAAAGCGATTGTATGTGTCTGGCACTTTCCACCCCAAAATCACTGTTTAGCATTTCTCCAATGAGAATTGCAAGTCCATCTAACAAAGTGTCCAGAGCACTCTGTCCATCTCAGTTTCTCTCTGCATCTTGAATTAATTTGCTTGGGATGCTGAGACTTTTGGTGGTTAGTTTTGAATTAAAATGCATGCGCATTTTAAGCACATTTCTCCCAATAAATGCATCCTTGACTAATAGTGTTTGCAAGCAATTCTCCTCATATAAAGCATTTTGGAACTGCGGGTTCCTAAATATATGCATCTTTGTACAGGTTTGTTGATCCGAAAACTCTGCTGCAAAATTTGGAGTTGTGTGAATCGCAAAAGATAACTGAGTTTCGATCCACACAGAGAGACTTGGGAAAGTTAGGATTAAAATATGTATTGTACGATCTCCCATCCATAGACACAAGTTAACTGTCACCCTTCCCATCGAGAGCAATCTGGGACTGAAGCTGCTGCAACCTCGTCCCATCAGTACAGGGCCCCGTTCCTCACCTTCTTGAGGATGAGATAAGAAATGGAAGCGTTGGCATCGATGATGATGGTAGAGATCTTGTCGTCGCGGATCTCCTTGAGCAGCGGAGTTGGGTCGTTGGTGTCATCCAGCATTCGGATCGACAGGGTCTCCTTGGAGATGAGAAACTGCCGCACCAGCTCCTCCAACCGCAGCAGGCCTGGTGGGTGGGATCCGGAAAGGAACAGGGGGTTACGCCAACTGTTTGTTCAAGCCAGAGCCCAGCCCAATAAGCTGGCTTCAGTGCCTGGGACTTGGCCTGGAATAGTTCAGCCAGGACAAAAAAGGCATTATGCAGATATAAAAGGAGAAGTCCTCCCCTTATATAACTTTCTGCATCCATTCCTATTAGCACCGAGGCTCTGCTTTGCATCCGCAGGGCCTTTGCTGTGGTAGCCCCAATAGTCCAGAGTGGGTTTTCTGGTCTCACCGCCCAGCATTCACCCTTGTGGAAATATACAGGAGCTCTTTCTTTCCTTGCAGCTACTCTCTTTACAAATGCCTGGGCCAAGCCAGACGTGGTGTTAAATGGATTTTCACAAATAATACATCTTTTTTTCTGTCTTCTGACAAAATGCTGGCAGGGTAGCCAAGGACAACCAGGATCCCAGCTTTGCAGTGTGGGATTAATCCTCACTGAGGTCCCCTGGTGAAAGTTACTTGCATATGAATCGGAAAGAACACTGGGGGAAGCGGGGAGTCCTCTCTGTGCAAACAGCATCTTTTTATCAGGATCATCGCAGGGGAGAAAGTAGTCAAACTCCCCCTCCCTGTTTAAAGCAATCCCAATAATGCTCACGATCAGCAGCTACTATTTGTATTTTTTGGATTTAAAAATAAGAAATACGCGTGTTCAATGCAGAAACACACTGAACATCATGTCTTCTTTGACCATTAATGTAATAAGAGATGAATACAAATAGAATCACCCAACGATTATACCAGACCTAAACTTTGGGGGAAAAGAAAATTATCACCCAGCTGGCTTATGCATTTACCCCCCCCCCCACACACACACACACACACAATCTACAGAGCTGCAGCGTCTAAAACAACTCATGTGGGAGAGGCAGAATCTGAAAGCTCTTTCAAGTTATGGCTCTACCGCTTTCTTCAGCCATTTTCCTTCTAGTCTTGGGCCTGCTAAGAGCACATGAACTGCAGCAAGACAGTGGGAGTTTTGCAAAATGATTTACTTGGGCTGCAGTCATATTCTCTTTGGGGTTTAACAGGCATATCCTGGGGTAGCATCTGAAAGTTACAAGTGCTCTTTCCATCTATAAGGCAGCAAAGCTGCTGCTCCTCCAGGAAGACTCTCCAGTTCAAAGAGTATGTCTTTCAAGCAGACATGAACGGAGGTCATTACTTTGCATCAGACATCATTAAAAGCATTGCTGACAACCAGGGGATAGATCCAATGCACATTTTTTAAGAAACAGGTTGCCGACTGATCCAGATGCAGACATGCAGGACTGTTACTCTGTGACTTGGATCTCCATGAAACCGGATGGGCCGCTGCCAGGGACGCCACTACAGCAAGGTATCCCCCTCCCGCCACGCACATGCACACACAACCCCAGTTCCCTGTTTCCACGAAAGGGTGCAGCCGTATTTTCTCACACTCAGCCTTGGCACAGATGAGGCTAGCTGAGGGGTAGTTGAAGGACTTGAGAATGCGAGACACAGCCAGGCTGACGTCCTCATTGCTGGGGTACAGGCTGACGGAGGCAAAGCGCAAGTACTGCAGCTTGGGGGTCTCTTCAGGACCCACCTTGACATGGGGGATCTAGGGGAGAAACAAAGTCTTTTGTTTATGACACAGATACTCTTTCCTGCTCCCTCCTCTGCGGCTGAAAAAATGTGGAATTCCTCATTTAGAACAGTTTCTGCAGAATACAAAACTCCAGGATCCTACTAAATGCTACAATTAAGCACATTTATATAATGTTGATTATTTTCCACATGCTTTTGGGATGTCTATAATTATAGTGAATGAGCAACAGAATCTGCTTCTCCCCCTTTCTCATCACTAATTAAAGAGAGTTAACATTTTTTTAAAAAAAGAACAAGGGAGAGTGGAGTTTGAAGTAAAGGTGATGGGAGAAAGTACTGAACATTTATATTTACTTAAAAAAAACCCTTACAGAGTCCCAGCAGTTTCTAAGCTTTAAGCAGATTTTTCTAGGCAGTCATGAGATATAGAAACTTACTTGTCCCTTTAAAAGAGAAGTGCGCATGGTGAGGAAGATATATTCTGTACAGCAGGAAGAATGGGATTCTATTCATTTCCACTTCCCACAGACATGCAGCTGCCTAAATTGCTGGAGCTGAGGCTCCACGTCAGCTGTCAGCCAAGGAAGCTCTGTCGTGTCGTTTGCACATCGGACTCCGGTATAGATTATTAGATTGGAGAACCACTCCTGTGCTAGGGTATATATGTGTTTATTGGGCTGGAGTGCAGAATTAAATTCCATGGCCGCCACTACAAACATGGAGAAATGTCCCAGAAGCAATCGGGCCCAATATTACCGCAATATCAACTGTGGTGCTATTACCTCTTTCTCCCCACAGATGTGGCTGACGATAGATGCGGAGGCTGGGCTGGAGGCTGGGCCCAATACTGACACGACTCCCTTGGGTAGGATCTGACACACTGTGTGAAAAAAAGGAACAGGAAGAAGTCGTGCGAACCAAGCATCGTACACCCAGGCTTGCTCACACTTGTGCGCAGGTGGCGAGTCTCTCAGTGATTTTATGCTCCCTCGTGCTGGGAAGAATAGTACTCATATTCAGCGGGGTGTACCTTGCAGGGTTGTTGTAAAGATTGCCGAAAAACACAATGAAAAGGCTCTCCTGTTGCAACAAGAGCAAGGCACTTTCTGGACCTTAGAAACCAAGGGTGACATTCCTGCTTGTGTGAGGTTGAAAGCAACACATCAGGAGAATGCCAGGTTAGGTGCATGTTAAACACAGTTTGGGGAGGTGGGGTTTAAAAAACACACATATTTAAACAGCCACCCAACTCCCATCCTGAGCTACATCAACCTTTCCCACCGAGATCCCCTGCCTATCACTGCTTTTCACCCCAGAAGCTGCTGCTGGCGAAGGGCCCTCTCCCTCCCGGACCGAAAAGCACCTTGGAAGGATTTTCTTTGGAACGACACCACCAGAGGGAAAGACATTAACGTCCTCCCTTTTTCAAAGTTTTTAAAAGCAGGCACAGATTGCCAAACAATGCATCTAACGTTTGGCCTTGGCAAAATGCATTATGTAATGGGAGCCCACTGGACGGACACATGAAGTCACCACGAAGCTGCGCGCTCTTATTTTAACTGGCTCGGATGACGTTGCTGCGGTCATCCCCCCTCGCACGCAATGCTGCGCTCCCTCCTCCTCCTCCTCCTCTTCCTCCCCCTCCCTGCAGGAGCTTGAGAGATCAAGGCACATCCCCATTTTCACAGGGGCGCGCGCCACGTACTGGTGTCGGTGGTCTCGTACTGGCTGTCCCGCTGCAGTTCGAAGATCTCCACTTCCACGCGGGCTTTGGCAGGCACCTCGATGATGCTGTTGATGTGCTCGCGAGCCAAGGCTAATGCCAGTCGCTCCCCCCGGCCACAAACTGTCTGGTCATCCAAAATGGCAGCTGGCCGTGGGGACAGGGACAGGGGCAGGGCAATGGGGGAGGGGAGAAGAAGACAGACATGAGCCACTGCCTGCCCAGGAAGCCTTCCCATGGAATGCCGTCACTGCCATTGCCAGGTGGGAATTTTTTTCCTGGGCACCAGTGGGCCCCCAAATGGCCGGCCTCCAGAAACGGAACTCTTGTTTGCCACTGGCTTGCCACAGGGCCCAGGGCCCACTGGGCCACCTGCCACCCTGAAGCGCAAAGCCCCTCCCAGCAGACCCCACCCTTCGAGGCAGCACACGGCACCAGGAGATGCTCCTCTTTCCAAAGCACTCCTGTCCCCAGAATCAAGCTCACTAGCTCCATAGAGAGCCAGATTACATGTTTTGCCATAACTACCCTAATGATGGAGCAGAGGTTCATCAGCGGCGATTAGCCGTGACAGCTCAATGGAACCGCCGTCATATGCCGCACGCTTCCAAACGCCAGGCACACAGAGCCAGAAGGAGCACGGCTGTCATGCCCTCCCTGGGAGCGCCCGCAGCCCTGCGCTGCCTCCGCCAGTGATGGCACCGCCGATTTGGCCGTCGCATCTGCGATGTGGGCTTAGCCCACGTTTTCTACAGGGGTGGGAGACAGAATGCCGGCGGGATCTACCGGCAGAGGTGAGCTTGATTCGCAGGGGATTCGTGCGGCTCTTGACTGCCCATCTGTTCAACGACAGGCCTCTTGAGGTCGAAATTCGGCTGTCAATTTGCATTTGGGCAAGCAGGCCATGCCAGAGCGGATGGGTCATGGGGTGTGGCCGGTTATTGGTTTCTCCCCCCTCTCCGAGCCAGCAGAGTGCGCCTGGCTCCATCGGTAGCCCTCAGGAGACTAACAAGAATCAAGCCAAGCCTGCCACCACAACACACTCTGTCCCCAACAAACTCTGTGCCTGAGAATCCCAGTGCCAAGGGGGCCACAGACCACTGACAGAGTGGTCTGGACACTTTGGGGGGCTTTTAACAACACCGGGAACGATGCTTCAACTTTGGGAAACACACCATGGCTGAAAGAAACCCTTCCTCAAGGCCATGGGTGCTCAGGGGGGCTTGCTGAGGGAAAAACAAGCCCCTCCGAAGCAGTCTGGGTTCTGACAACAGGACAACCCACCACTGTTTGCTGTGGGCTGTTGTGTCGTGCAAACCAAGTCAAAGATTCATTTGTTAATTCTCTTTACACCCTGCCTGTCCTTCAGGGAGCTCCAGGCAGCATACATCAAGGTACCCGCAACTGCCTGCAACGTGGCACTTCCCACTGGACTACAACTCCCATTATTCTCCAGGCAGATGAAGACAGAGGGCCCAGCAGGGACCCTGTTGGGAAAGAGGGGCACAGAGGGAAGCAAGATGAAAAGACAAGGCAGCGGCACATGTGCCGGAGTCTGTGGGTTGCTCCTGCTGCCAGCTATGCCCATGACAAGGAACTCAGCTGGTGCCGAGCGGTGCCAAGCTGCAGGGAAGGATCCCCTTTGGGAAGCTGTCCTGGGGCTCTTTCCCCCTCCGCTCGCCAGGCCTTCCTCAGATGAGAGAAGCCAGCATCCCCGGATCAACGCAGCCTCGCAGTCAGAGATGCAACACTCCATCATGCCCTCCCGCCAGCGGAAGTCCGAAAAGTGCAGCAGTGGGGGAGAGGCAGGGACGGAGGTCGGTCTCTGCGCATGGGCGGGGGGGGCCTGCCGCTCCCCACTTCTGTCCGAGGACAAGAATGCTTGTCCCCAAGGGTGCCGTTCCATTTTGGCGGCGGCTCTCCTGCGAGGGCTTTCGTGCAGCCCCACTAAAAGCCTTCCGTTCCCTGCATCCTGCAGCTCTGCCCGTGCTCCGTCCGTGTCCTGATTTATTCCTCCTGCAGCCGCCTGGATGCTCGGATAACGGATGGAGCTGCTGAGCAGACTAGACAGAGCCCCTCCGGAGCCATTCATCACGTCCAGGGTCAGGCTCCCCCCTCGCCGGAGTCTCGGCTCCCTGCCACCACCCGCTCCACCACCTCGGCTTCAGCCACCTTCAGCAGGGGCCCCCATGCGGCCTCGCCCCCCGTGGAAAGTCTCCCTCTTACCCATGCGCAGAGAGGACAGCACCTCTAGGCTCTTGTGGGCGAAGCCGAGAATCAGCAGCAGCAGCAGCGCGGGCAAAGCCGGCATCTTCTACCCCTCCTCATGGAGAAAGTTCGGCCGTGGCCTCCGCGCTGCCACCTGCAGGCGGGGTGGAAAAATACCCCCATGAGAAATTTTCCCAGCACATGGCACGGAACGGAAGATTGGGCCAAAAGTCTCTCCCCCAGAAAATATTCTCTCTCTACAAAAAGAGGGCCCGGATTTCTACAGGTTTGGGGAGCGGGGGGAAGGATGAGAATTGCAGCAGAACTTTCTGCTACCACTTAAGTTCAAGGGGTTTTCATTTTTTCCTTGCTTTTGGTTTTAAAACCACTTTGTTTTCAGAGAGGCAGCAGTAACCCTGCCTCTCTGAAACCCCACAATTCCTGCTAATGGCACTTCCCACAAACTCTGGGAGCAAAAAACAGAAAAAACAGAAATCCCCAGCTGCCTCATGAAGTTAAACAAAGTAAATGGAAGCATTTGCAACAAATAATTGTTCTTCCTTCCCAAGACAGCTAGCCCTGTGTTGCTCCCAGCCACTTAACAGGACTAAAACAATCTCAGACCAATTATAGAAAACAACTGAAGGACCGCAGGTTGTACTATAACCCCCATCATCCTTGACCATTAACCATGGCAGCTTCTGGGAGTGTCACTACACCTGGCAAGCCCTTAATTGCACTGAAGCTGCCAGTGCTGCAATTTCTGCCAGGATCTGCCCCCGATCCTCTTGACTTTGGGCTCTCTGAGTGGTTTGCAACTTCATATTATTTTGCATTTATATCCTGCTTGCCTTCCTCTTTAGAGGGGGCTTAAGCAGCTCCAATTTACGGGGCCCGCAGGTGACTTCATGGCCAAACAGGGACTAGGACCCCAATCTCTCGGGTCCCCAGCCCAGCCCCCTCTCCACCACGCCACTCCGGCTCCCTAATCCACCAGCCCAGTGGAGACTGAGGAGGATGAGGAGGAGGATGGGCTGCAGAAGAGAGGGAGCAGGGCCTGGCCCACCTGCAGCTGGACACCACGCAAGTCGGGTCTCTCCCTGCTTCCCAGCAGTTCATCGCTAGCTTCCCCTTCATTAGCTGATACATTCAACATTCATCCCCCCACCTTCTTGCAAGCTTCTCAGGGAGACATGCAGGGTTTTCCCCCACCCCATTTCACTTCCACAAAAACCCTACAAGCTAGGCTAGAATGAGGGACACCTTCTTGTGTGGGATTTGAACCCCGGTCTCTCTGCTTCTTGGTATCCAAATGCCCGATCGTTCAATCGCACCAGCATTTCATTGCCCTGGACCATCTTCCACCATCGGTTAACCCCTCTCTGTGCACAATGCTTCCAAAGGGCACCGCACCAACACTTCCTGCACCCTGCCTCCTGTCCATTCAGCTGCGCTCTGGCCCCACTGCCCCTCAGTGGCCCTCCCTGCCAGTCCTGACCCTCGGCAGACTTCTCGCACCCTTGGCCACCCACGCATCACACGCGTCCTCGGCACCCGGCAGTGTTCAACCGAGTGACCCCTTGCCCAGTTGCCAACTTGATCTCCGCAAGGATGCGCCTCCGTCTGGCCGCCCGGTCCAGCAGGCCTCACGTGCTGGGCATCCTTCCAGCAGCTGGCGCAGCAGCAGGACCCAATGCCTCCCCCGTTGCATTCGACGCCCATCCTGCGCTGAGCTGAGCCAGCAACATTCCCCGTCCTCACGCCGCGTTCACCTTGAGCATTTTTATTTTCCCCTCTGCCACGACTAGGCAAGTACGACGCAGCCCGGGGCTACCAAAAGAGGGGGAAGGCGTCATCCCTCTTTTTGTCTGGGGGGCTGTAAGAAGGGTCAGAGCTGACACGTAAATCACATTTAAAAAGACAAAAATGCAATCAGAGTCTTCTTTCATTATACTATCCCAAATGTATGAATTAACTTCCCTGTTGCATCCATTCATCAATAAAAATGTTAACAAACATAACCACGCATACCAGTCAAATAGGTCCTATGAGTAAACAAGATTGTACTGAATCCTAAACCTGCTCATTCCAGCACCAAATAACTCGAATCTTGATTTTCAATGCAGTATTTGACAACTGACCAACCTTCACATTTCAGCAGGGAAAGGTACCTGTAGGTACAAGATGGTGGACCTACTTAGAGTTTCGCCAAAGACTGGGGAAAAGGATCCTTTTCGGTTCGTGTGTGAGGAGTCACAACTCAAGTTGTCTATGCTAAACCATCTTGTCAGGGCCCAAGTTCAGCTTTCCCCACCACTGCGCAACCATTGTGAGAACAACGGTGTTGCCACCTTAAAGCAGGCACCACCAACCTGGTACCCCCACGAGTTGAGCCAACACGTCCATAAAACCCAGCCAGTTTTGTCATCCGGACATTCCCAGATTGGGGAAAGCTGATTTAAAAACTACAGAAGACTCTCCAGTGAACTGGCCAGTCACAAAGATGGCGTTTGATATTTGTGGATTGTATCCTTAGGTCAAGCTAAACATGCTGCAGGAATTCTACAACTAGAACCTCAAATGCCTTTGTCATTTACAAAACCAGCTGTGGAGAGGCAATGCAGACGGGGATATATGTTTATCTCTTTGCCACATCGCCAATGAGATTTGTCCCGATCTCTGAGCTGCTGTTTTCCCCAGTGGGGCAAGGGGAACCTTATGGATATAGCCTTAAGTTTTCAAATCAGAGCAAGCAGCAGTTTAAGGAAAATAAGAGCACAGAATCCCTTTCCCGTGCTGTGGCCCCAATCCAGATCACATCTTCCCTCCTCCCACCAGCTGCTTTTTGCAAAAGAAAGGGACATCCCGCCTTCCAGTCATGGAACTTTTATGGCAGGGTTATTTTGACCCTAAGGCAAAAGATCAACATGACTTTCCTGCCTCTTTCTCCTTCCTCAGGACTAGAGACATCTTTTGTTTTGCTTGGAATGGCAAACTGAAATGGAGGACGAAGACCACAAAATGGCTTCGCTCCGGCATCTGGTGCCCAAAGCAGAGCATCACGTTCCTTCATGGAACAGCCAGTCTTTGACTGGAGAGCTCCAACGCAAAAGATGGCTTCAGGCGTTTTCTAGATGAGACACTGGCTCTACACCACTAGATAAGGCAGTACCTTCTCTTTCTACCATGAATTAATTTAAGGAAACGCCTCTGTTCCAAGTCTCAGAACCAGTGTTTGGCTCCAGGGCTTCTGACATCAGGTCTTTTTTAATTTTCCACATCTGTACGCTGGATGGAGGGAAGAGTGCCTGAGAGCCAAGCCGGTCCCTTGTCAGGGACTGGAAGGGTTGGGCACCTGACAAGGACCATCTCTTGGCAGGGGTCCCACGGTGGCCCCCATCCCACACCACCCAGGCCTTCTGATCCCACTTCCCTTCCAGTTAGTGCTTTTCCGTACTCTGAGTGAGAGTGAAGGGAGGAAGAACAAAAAAGAGACCCCCCATTCTCCCTTTTCTTGGCACCTTCCCTCTAAATGTTTGCACAGAACAAGCTGATAAAAGCAAACACCTTCTAGTCCTTAGGGAGGAGGCGAATGGGCTGTAGGGACAGAGGCAAGGGGGTGAGAGCCTCTTGCCCAAGCCAGCCCCTTCCCCAAATAATTCAGAGTCTGTACCAACACGTAACCAGACATTTTGTGACAAGAGGCAATGCAGGCCACCCTCAAAATATGCATTTAGGCAAGCAAAGGGTTTAAACTTATTGTAATTACTACTAATAGTAGTACGACTACAACTATTACTACCTTGCATTGCATTCATATCCCACTTTTCTTTCTTTGCAGGGAACCCAAGGTGGCTTGGCCTGGTATTGCTCCTTAAGGTGCTGTAGGGCAAGGGCCGGGCACTTCCTCTTCCATGTGAAAATGGTTTGAGAGTCTTAAGACAGGCCAGCAGGCAAGGTTCCACCCTTAAAAGCAGCCTAGAATCCGTGTTTGTTTATTTCAAGCAAATATACATGAACATTTGAAGAAGGGGCACTAGAATGCCTTTGAAGGCAGATGAAGTGCAGGAGCGACCCTGTGACTGCAGCTGTTTCCTGAGCATGTGCTGAGCACCTTTCCCTTCACTATCTGCAGAGAGAAGGCTTGGCTCCTGGCTGCAGGCACCCATCATCGGGTGCAGGAGTGCTTCCACCAAGACGCCCCACTAGCATCCCACTAGGCACTTCTAAGCGGAAACTCACGGCACGCAGACTGGATCAGACTAATGAGGGGACCGCTCCTGCAGACCACGTGATCGCGGTTGCCAGGCAACAGGAAGCTGCTATCAGGGATGCGGCTGTTGCTAGGCGAAGCCATCTGCAACTCTGCTGCCCTTCTCAACCCTGTTGCCTCTTTCCTCACTTCCCAACAGCGGAGGTTTCCTTGCAGACTCCACAACAGGCTGGTCCGTGAGAACCGTCTTACTACAACGCGCTTTCCCAACCTGCTGTCCCACCCACTTTTACTGTTTAAAGGATGCTGGGCAGGAAAGGCAAAGGGAAATAAATATATATTTATAAAGCAATAAATATATATAGATATCTTTTGTCTTGTGTGTCATCTTTACTTCTTCCCTAGTGGTGTTGATTAGAGAATACACATTCATGTCTCTCTTGCTGATGTCGTTCCCATGCAACGCCATGACTCCTGCCCTACTCAAGCCCATTTTTTCAATCCTACCACTCCCTCATGGGGAATGCCAGGACACCCACTTTAAGTAGCATGATAAAGAGGCAGACACAGAAAGAGGGCTTGAAGCATCTTCAGTGAGACTGCCTGTAACCCCAAGAATATGAGGATTGCAAGCTTCCAAGCTCCTGCTGCCACACAAAACACAGTTTGCTTATTTTGGCAGTCCAAGAATTCATCTCAGAGCAGAGGCCCACCAAGATAACCTGCATGCCTGACAAAACCCGTTTTCTCCTCTCCGAGCTCCCCAAAGTCTCTTGGAGCTGCTGCAGGTGCAGTTCCTTCCACGCCCAAATTTTGAAGTCCCCGCTCTGACCTTGGAGCGAATTTCCAAGTTGGAGCCCATGGCTTTCTTGCTCTGTCTAGCAATCTGC